TACAAGCATGCTTAGTGTGAGGGATTGCTGAATCGATGCAATCAACTGGTTTTCCTTAGATAGTAAACTTTGAACAAATCGGACTGTATGATCTGGTATAATTGTCTCTGTAAAGTGCCTTGAGATGACGTGTTGCTGATTGATGCTCTATAGATGAACTAAATCGAATTGAAAATGTTGTATAAGGGCTATTTCCTAAGTTCTTTTAGTGCAACTTTTAGCCTTTTCCATATAATCCAATGAGGTAAAGTCTCTGAAAGCTCCAAACTCTGTATAAGATGTTTGTGAACTCATCTTCTTCCAGAGCCAGCCAGGCTTTGTCCTCCTGCAGCCATGCCGTTAAACTTTGCAAACAAAGCATCACTTCAGTGTCTGGATCTCTGCATTGCTTTGGTTTTAATGCTGTGATCTGCGTGCTCACTGCAGGGCTGGCCTTCGACTCCTGGGATCTGGACTACTACACCTCCATGTTCCAGAGGATTAACAGGAACCCCACCAGCGTGGAGTGTTTTGACCTGGCTCAGTCCAACAGGTGGGGAAATCAGCTTCACGGTCTCCCAGGTCGTCATTTGTTCTCTGATTCACTTTCTTTGTATGTCTCCGTGTCGCAGCGAGCACAGCCGCCACTGGTTCTTCCGGGGGCGGATGGTGATCGACGGGCAGGAGCAGAAAGAGACGCTCTTCAGCCTCATTATGGAAACGCAGCAGCACAGCAACCAGAACAACGTCATCAAGTTCTGCGACAACAGCAGGTGTTGTTGGAGGCGGCGCCGCTGCAGCTTGCTGTTGGAGGGATTCTGCTCACACTCAGTGAAATGTTGTTTCTGTGTTTAGCGGCATCAGAGGAAAGGAGCTGCAGAGCATTTACCCAGCAGACCCCTCTGAAGCGAGCCCGTACGAGACGCGCCGCTCCCTGCGACACGTCATCTTCACTGCGGAGACGCACAACTTTCCAACAGGTCAGACACACTCCCACTTCCCCCGATCACACGTCCCCATGGGATTGTTAAGCAGATACGGTGCTTTCTGAACTCTGCAGGTGTTGCACCGTTCAGCGGCGCCACCACGGGGACTGGAGGTCGCATTAGAGACGTCCAGAGTGCCGGACGGGGCGGACACGTCATCGCTGGAACTGCAGGATACTGTTTTGGAAACCTGCACATCCCAGGTCTGCTGCTGCGCTGTTACAGTTAGCTGCTATATCAAAGGTGCAGATCATCTGAAGCTAACGGTCACTATGCTAATTGATTGATCTGTCATTAATGGATTAATAATCAGATAGCAAAAGCTAACTTAAAGATTTATTTTACTTACAGAATTTAAACCAGGAGAAACTAGAGCATAATGACAATTATTTTAAATGCAGATTTATTTTTTTATAATAATATTGGTATAATTTCTGCTATAAGTAGGTCACTCTCATCTCTTTACTCCAGTTTATTAGGTATGTTTATGTTTATGCATTTAGCAGATGCTTTTATCCTTACAAAGTAGGCATTAGCATGAAGAGTCTTGTCCTGTCACACCTTTACCATTTATCCAGCTCATGCCTGACATCCCAGAATCTTCTAAAACGCTGACATACACTGAACTTTCTATGTATTTGTTCAACTTTGGGCGTATACAGAGTATTAATAATGAGTCCAGAACTTCTGTCCACCGACGGCCCAAGTTCTGCATAATGCACAGCAGTATAATGCCCATGAAATGATGCACAAGCCAGTGTCCTGAGGGGGGCAGCGATGAGCCCAGAGGCGCCCGGCCTGCATAAAAAGATTTCTTTGATTGCGGTATTAACCTAGCCTCGTGAGACCATCCTGATCTCGCGAGCTTTCAAGGTTTCACTCGCTAATCAGTCTGGAGACTCTCCGTTG